TTTTTTTTGTTTAGTTGTTTTTTGGTTTTTTGTTTTTTATGTTTTTTTTTGTTTTGTTTTTTGTTTTTTTTTGCACATTGCCACGCTTGCATGTAGGTCAGCCCCTTCATTTCAATGGACTGCAGCACACATGTGAAATGTTGAGAAGAAATTCATGACTCTTCCAAAAATTCGCTGCACTGAACCGCATGGTGATGTAACACAATGCAGTTTGGCGCGCCAAATAACACACCTTTGCAGATGTGCGCCTGCCATAAATAAGTAAAACTGCTGGTCCCCCCTAGGCCAAGGGTGGGCAAACTGCAGCCCTCCAGCTGTCATGGAACTATATGTCCCATGAGGCATTGAAAGGCTGACAGTTGCATCATGACTTGCAGAGGCATGATGGGACTTGTAGTTCCACAACAGCTGGAGGGCCACAGTTTGTGCACCCCTGCCCTAGACCTAAACAAGCACTTCACCCTTGCAGTGCACCATGCTCTTTGGTGTGTCTAGAAAAAAACACGCACCTTTTGCAGGTGCGTGGGGGGGTGCAATGTTCCAGTGCAGGGCTATGGGGTCTGCATTGTCCTTGATGACATCAGAGGACCTGCAATGACCAGAATGTGGGGGGGGGGGGGGGGGGGGGGGGGGGCGCAAGGGGCCCGGTCTTGCAGCCAGGAGAGATCCTGTGGGAGAGGAGGATCGGAAAGATCAAAATGACTATTGAACCCCTGCTGAACGGGGCAGCCCCATGCAAGGCACTTTTTTTTTTTTTTCCTCCTTTCTCCAGAGTTCCCCTTTAATAACAAATCCATAATCCATATCTGCTATAGAAGAGGGCCAGCGGGTGGCACCCCCTCCGTGTGATATAGGATATGACCTAGAGGGGGTGTGTTGATGCAAAGGGTGCAGAGTAAGGGGTAATGGAAGATGCAGGGGGTGTAATGGGGGGGGGGGTGTATGGGGGGACCTCTGGATTTTTTTGGAATTCCGATAAAGCGCCCTGTTCTATCACAGTTGTATGAAATCTAATGGAGATTGTACGGAGATTGTACCATCAGATTGTCACGTGTATGAACAGCTCTTTGCACCACCAATCCGTCACACCAGGATGGCAAAGAAAAGCCATCAGCACAGCGCCGCGGACGCCGAGCGGCTCTTCGCTTTTTTTACACTGAATGTATTTCAGGAGGTTGAAGTGTTGAATGCAGCAACGCCTGTCCCCCCGGGGAGAAGTGCAATGTGCTCTCCGTGTAAAGGGCACTCTGTCACATCGCTTCATATCGGAGGGGAAGACGCCCGGACACAGAATATTCATGCTGCATTCCCTCATTCACAATCCGCTCTTCCTGCACTGACCCAAAAAACCCCACAACTGTGGTGACCCGCAATCTGACACCAGATGGGGGGGGGGGGGGTGACACCATCTCAGACGCAGAAAATGGACATCTATAAATGATAAAAGTTAAAATAAATACAGCGGCCTCCACAAAATAAAAGTAAGAATCAAAAACGGCGACCTGAAAAATCCCCCATAAAACACACTACAGGAAGAGCTACAATGTGTATAAATACTAACAAATCTCCTCCACAGATGAACCCCATACAAGTGATGTTCACATATTATTATTATTATTATTATACAGGATTTATGTGGTTATTATACAGGATTCATATTATTATTATTATACAGGATTTATATTATTATTATTATACAGGATTCATATTATTATTATACAGGATTCATATTATTATTATACAGGATTCATATTATTATTATTATTTATTATACAGGATTTATATTATTATTATACAGGATTTATATTATTATTATTATTATACAGGATTTATGTGGTTATTATACAGGATTCATATTATTATTATTATTATTATACAGGATTCATATTATTATATTATACAGGATTCATATTATTATTATTATACAGGATTTATGTGGTTATTATACAGGATTCATATTATTATTTATACAGGATTCATAATATTATACAGGATTCATATTATTATTATTATTACATTATTCATATTATTATTATACAGGATTCATATTATTATTATACAGGATTTATATTATTATTATTATACAGGATTTATATTATTATTATACAGGATTTATTTTTATTATACAAGTTTTATAATATTATACAGGATTCTTCTTATTATAATACATGATTTATTTGTTGAATATTATTATTATACAGTGTTTAAAATACAGGATTTATCACATTATAATACAGGATGTATTATTATACAGAATTTATTTGTCTATTATTATTATTATACAGGATTTATATTATTATACAGGATTCATATTATTATTATTATACAAGTTTTACAATATTATACAAAAATTCTTCTTATTATCATACATGATTTCTTTGTTTATTATATTATTATTATTATTATTATTATACAGGATTTATTATTATTATTATTATTATTATTATTATTATTATACAAGTTTTTATAATATTATACAGAATTCTGCTTATTATAATACATGATTTATTTGTTTATTATTATTATACAGTGTTTATAATACAGGCTTTATCACATTATAAATACAGGATGTATTATTATTATACAGGATTTATTTGTCTATTATTATACAGGATTTATATTATTATACAGGATTCATATTATTATTATTATACAGGATTTATTATTATTATTATTATTATACAAGTTTTATAATATTATACAGAATTCTTATTATAATACATGATTTATTTGTTTATTATTATTATACAGTGTTTATAATACAGGATTTATCACATTATAATACAGGATGTATTATTATTATACAGGATTTATTTGTCTATTATTATTATACAGGATTAATATTATAATACAGGATTTATTTTTTATTATTATTATTATTATACAGTGTTTATAATACAGGATTTATTTATTATAATACAGGATTCGTACAGCACCAACAGTTTGCCTAGCACCAGGCTTCATTCACATTTAGCTTTTCCTGAACACTCGTAAGGTCGTGTTGTATGTTTGCACACATTGGGCAGCCCATTGCACTGAATATGTCACCTGCGGAAAATGCACTTTTTGGCACCCTGAGCTCTCCCTGTTTCTTTTAGCTGCTCGTTTTGCCACCTTTGAGGTGTCATTGCCAATGAATGGCAAGGCAAGCGGACTGGTGTTTTTTGTGCATTCCATAAAGCCCTCTGAAGAGCGATTCACATTCAAAATGCTTTTCAGAGGGCATTTGACAGGCGGTGAGGGAGCATTATATCGCCTACCAACTGTTGTCTGATTGAACCCTATAATGCCGCAAAGCGGTTGTGGTGTGGCCCCATTGAACTCAGAGTGAGTGCTAATGGTCAGACTCCGTACCCTTGCAGAGAATATATGGCTGTGTTCACAAATGTCTGACACAGACTGGCCCGTGCTGCAACCTCTCACCTTGTGACTTGCTACAAAGTTACAATGTACAGTCCAATCACTGGGGGAGGGGAGACTGAGGAAATGGCTCCTCCTCCTTCCACAAAGTTACAATGTACAGTCCGATCACTGGGGGAGGGGAGACTGAGGAAATGGCTCCTCCTCCTTCTACAAAGTTACAATGTACAGTCCGATCACTGGGGGAGGGGAGACTGAGGAAATGGCTCCTCCTCCTTCTACAAAGTTACAATGTACAGTCCGATCACTGGGGGAGGGGAGACTGAGGAAATGGCTCCTCCTCCTTCTACAAAGTTACAATGTACAGTCCGATCACGGGGGAGGGGAGACTGAGGAAATGCTTTCTCCTGCCTGCAGCAGACTGATGACATCATCTTAGCCTAGGCACAGTCACTGGCTGAAGCTCAATGATAGAAGGTGGAGCTTTTCTGAAAACGATCCTGCTGCTGTATATTGCGAGCGGAATTTATGAAGACGCGTAAAGTTTCTGCACTTTGAAGCTAAATGGCGGCCGTAGATGAATAATTCATTTTGTGTTTTGAGGTCTTTACTTCAGAGTAAAAGAATAGGGACAGCGGGGGAGGGAGGATGGACGGGGGAGGGAGGATGGATGGGGGATTGGGTCAGTTGGGATCTGTGGACTCGTCCCGGGCAGATGGTGACATTGCTGCGTTTGTGTCGAATTTTCCAGCCGAGTTCCTCCGGGATTGTGACTGACAAACCGAATCCAGGTCACAGGTAATGGGGGCTGTGGAGAGTCAGACACGGGTGGAGGCAGAACACGGCCCGCGGCTCTCTGTTCCTGGAATACATTATGGAGCTGTAAGAAATCGTTGTGACTCGGCTCTTCCCGAAGCCGATCCATCTGCTGCAGTAAGTACAAGTGTTGCAGATTGCTGAGTTGCAGCACCGGAGCTCGGCATCAATCTGTCAATCACCAGACCCGGAGACATCTGCCAGGGTCTGTCCTACACACCAACTTCTCATCTCTGCTTATATCTGACATTTAGTTATTATATGCACCAGACGCGATTTACTAAGGAGTGGAGTGCAGTCAAGAGAACCTGCGGGCACTTCAAACATGCTGCCATGGACAAGGAACTCTGTTTTCTTGACTCCTCTATTGATGACTGGATGCCCACATTGCTTGATGCTTTCATAAATCAGGGCCACCATTGCTGCTGTCACCAAAGTAACTAAAAATGAGCGTTCTGGACCTTCCCCATCAAAACCTTTCCATTCATTCAAGAACAGGTCCTGGACCTTCCCCTCAAGACCTTTCTACCATTCAAGAACAGGTCCTGGACCTTCCCTCAAAATCTTTCTATTCATTCAAGAACAGGTCCTGGACCTTCCCCCATCAAAACCTTTCCATTCATTCAAGAACAGGTCCTGGACCTTCCCCTCAAGACCTTTCCACCATTCAAGAACAGGTTCTGGACCTTCCCCTCAAGACCTTTCTACCATTCAAGAACAGGTTCTGGACCTTCCCTCAAGACCTTTCTACCATTCAAGAACAGGTTCTGGACCTTCCCCTCAAGACCTTTCTACCATTCAAGAACAGGTTCTGGACCTTCCCCTCAAGACCTTTCTACCATTCAAGAACAGGTTCTGGACCTTCCCCTCAAGACCTTTCTACCATTCAAGAACAGGTTCTGGACCTTCCCCTCAAGACCTTTCTACCATTCAAGAACAGGTTCTGGACCTTCCCCTCAAGACCTTTCTACCATTCAAGAACAGGTTCTGGACCTTCCCCTCAAGACCTTTCTACCATTCAAGAACAGGTCCTGGGCCTTCCCCTCAAGACCTTTCTACCATTCAAGAACAGATCCTGGGCCTTCCCCTCAAGACCTTTCTTCCATTCAAGAACAGGTCCTGGACCTTCCCCATCAGAATCTTTCCATCATTCAAGAACAGGTCCTGGACCTTCCCCATCAGAATCTTTCCATCATTCAAGAACAGTTCCTGGAGATTTACCATTAGAACCCTTGCACCAATCAGTAACAGGTCCTGGACCATTCCACTGATCGCGAGTAGGTCCTGGAATTTCCCATCAGAACAATTTCACCAGTCATGAGCCGGTTCGGGCCATTCCCACACAAACTTTCCACCAATCTATCTTCAGTCTATCATGAATGCTGCTGCCAGACTCATCCACCTTACTAACCGTTCTGTATCTGCCACACCTCTGTGCCAATCCCTCCACTGGCCTCCACTCGGTGTCCTCCACCCCTCTCTGCCAATCCCTCCACTGGCCTCCATTCAGTGTCCTCCATCCCTCTCTGCCAATCCCTCCACTGGCCTCCACTCAGTGTCCTCCACCCCTCTCTGCCAATCCCTCCACTGGCCACCACTCGGTGTCCTCCAATCCCCTCCTCCACTCGGTGTCATCACCCCTCTCTGCCAATCCCCATCCACTGGCCTCCACTCGGTGTCCTCCACCCCTCTCTGCCAATCCCTCCACTGGCCTCCACTTCGGTGTCCTCCACCCCTCTCTGCCAATCCCTCCACTGGCCTCCATTCGGTGTCCTCCACCCCTCTCTGCCAATCCCTCCACTGGCCTCCACTCAGTGTCCTCCACCCCTCTCTGCCAATCCCTCCACTGGCTTCCCATTGCCCAACAAATAAAATTCAAAACATATTAACAATAACCTATAAAGCCATTTATAACTCCGCCCCCAATTACATCACCGATCTTGTCTCCAAATATTGCCCAAACCGTCCTCTCTGCTCCTCGCATGACCTCATGCTGTCTAGCTCCCTTGTCTCCTCCTCCCATGTTCGTCTCCAGGAATTCTCCAGAGCTTCCCCCATCCTCTGGAACTCTCTACCCCAATTTATCAGACTATCGCCTACTCTGCTCACTTTTAGGCGATCTCTGAAAACTGATCTCTTCAGGGAAGCCTATCCTGCCCTCAGCTAATAATGGAATCTTCTATTCTTCCTACCAGCCCATCCCCCACAGTTACTACCTTTTTGTACCACTAGCCCCCTCCCTCTTAGATTGTAAGCTCCCAGGATCAGGGCCCTCCTATCCCTCTTGTATTGAACTGTATGGTTGCTGTATTGTCTCCCGTTATATTGTACAGCGCTGAGCAAACTGTTGGTGCCATAAATCCTGTATAATAATAATATGTGTGGGTACGAATGTTGGGTATAAAAAGTAGCTTGGAGAGTCCACAGACGATCTTCAGTCCATCTGAACCCGCAATACACAATGACCTGGATACATGAGAACGTTCAGACACAATGCCATGTCTTGTTTCTTCGTCTGGGGAAAAAAATTCGTCCTATTACGCGTTTTCATCTGATTTTTTTCTTTCTGGATTTCCCTGCCTCTGAATGATTCTGCTGGAATCTGTCCGGCCGCTGTGGACCCGTTTAGCAAGTGAGGCCCCAGTAATTTGTTCCGCGTTCTAGGGGGAAATCTGCCGCTCGCTTCTCCTTATTGCCCCCTCGAGCTGCGATTTCTAATTGAGACGTCTGAGAAAAGCGTAATGTGATTATTTATAAATTGGGAAATTGCCGGCTGAGGCGTGACACGGATCCGAGTCACACGGCGACCTCTATTAGTGACGCGCCGCGCAGCACTTGGGGAGGATTGGTGTTACCGAAGACAGGTGACCCCCCCCCCCCCACTTCTACTTGTCAGCGGGGGTACTAGAGCAACCGGTGGCTTCCATGACTTTTGCCTGGGGCCCTCAATGTATCTCATCCCTGCAGCCTGTAGCGGAACAGCTAATTGTCCGATTATACTTGCAAATTTCTGCCGGCTTCTAAACTTATTATGGGAACGCCGCGGCCTAAAATACCGAAGATGTCCTAATGGGGCAGGCTGGGTACAGCGATGGGAGGCCTGCGACTACCAATGAGAGCCTCAGATTGCCTCCACTTCCAAGTCTTCTTAGTATTTAACCACTTCCAGTCCGGACACCTTCACCCCCTTCAGTCCGGACGCTTCCCCCCCCTTCCAGTCCGGACACTTTCACCCCCTTCCAGTCCGGACTCTTCCCCCCCCTTCCAGTCCTGACACTTTCACCCCCTTCCAGTCCGGACGCTTCCCCCCCCTTTTTCCAGTCCGGACGCTTCCCCCCCCTTCCAGTCCGGACACTTCCCCCCCCCCTTCCAGTCCGGACACTTTCCCCCCCTTCCAGTCCGGACGCTTTCCCCCCCTTCCAGTCCGGACGCTTTCCCCCCCCTTCCAGTCCGGACGCTTTCACCCCCCCTTCCAGTCCGGACGCTTTCCCCCCCCTTCCAGTCCGGACGCTTTCCCCCCCCTTCCAGTCCGGACGCTTTCCCCCCCCTTCCAGTCCGGACGCTTTCCCCCCCTTCCAGTCCGGACGCTTTCCCCCCCCCTTCCAGTCCGGACGCTTTCCCCCCCCTTCCCGGACGCTTTCCCCCCCCTTCCAGTCCGGACGCTTTCCCCCCCCCCCCTTCCAGTCCGGACGCTTTCCCCCCCCCTTCCAGTCCGGACGCTTTCCCCTCCCTTCCAGTCCGGACGCTTTCCCCCCCCCCCTTCCAGTCCGGACGCTTTCCCCCCCCCTTCCAGTCCGGACGCTTTCCCCCCCCTTCCAGTCCGGACGCTTTCCCCCCCCCTTCCAGTCCAGGCCAATTTTCAGTTTTCAGCGCTATCACGCTTTGAATGACAATTGCGCGGTCATGCAACAATGAATTGTTTAGCATTTTTTTTGGGACAGATAAAGTTTTTTATTTTGGTGGTATTTATTCACCACTGGGATTTTTATATATTTTTTGCTATATAAATGAAAGTCCAAAAAAATTTTTAAAAAAAGTGATTTTCTTATAACATTTTGCAAATAAATAATATTTCATCATAAATATTGGCCGAAATTTATTCAGTTATTTTAGTAAAACAAAAAACCCAAATTCGTTTATAACCAATAATTATAATTTAAAAAAAATTTTTTTTTACATTTTTTATTTTATTTTTTTATATTAATTATTATATTGTTTTTTTTTTTACATACTGTCACCCTAGCAGTACAGTGTCACCATGGTGACACTGTACTACTTGTGGGGGGTGATGAAGATTTTTTTTTTTTTTTTTTTTTTTACACTGATTGCTTTTGCACCCATAAAGGCTGTAAAAGCAATCATTTCTCCTCTCTGGCTGCATTCTTGCAGCCATTGAGAAACACTGTGTGAGCTGTGATTGGTCACAGCTTGTCACATGGTATGAGGCTGTTGTGAATGGCCCTGTACCATGTGACCTCTGGGATCATTCACAAATTTCACATGTAGTAAGCAATGATGTCAGAAGTGACATCTTGCTTACTACTCTGCATGTGATCACTGATTGTATGTGATCACTGATTGGCCAATCAGTGATCACATGATCGGGACCTCACACAGAGGTCCTGTACGACGATCAGTGTTCCACTGTGTCCGGAGGGAGGTGGTTAAAGAGACCCTGTCACCAGATACATGGTATTCCAGGTATTTGTTACCTCCTATAGAGAGAGTCTGCCACTGACAATACCTTCATCACAAGGGCGGACTGACCATTTGGAAACTCGGCACTGCCCAAGGGCCTGGGGTCAGTAGGGGGCCCCATGAGATGCCCCCGGTACCTTTTTCATAGGCTTTTTTGAGTTTGGGCAAGGACACAGGGGCCCCATGATCCCCTATTGCCCGGGGGCCCCATGAGTTTTCAGTCTGCCCCTGCTTCATCGGCACCATCTTTGTTCGGGTATCCAGGGTCACTCTCTACTTTCTGGATTGAGACACTGGATCAGAAATGACCCAATCATGCAGTTCCTGGTGCCTGTGCAGCACAAGAAGAGATTGCAGAGCTGTGGGAGGGGCCTAGCAGACTCCACGAATTACAGGCTGCCTGCAGAAAACTACAGGAGGGGGCGGAGACGAGACCAGTCACTCTGCACAAGGTGAGGGAGCAGCAGTGAGCGGTCTTTATTCCAGGAAGTCTCACACACAGATCTGGAAGAAATACACAAATCTCAGAGATTTGAAGATGAAATACGCACGGGTCTTGTATTTGGACAATATTCCCGTATCCCGGAGTTCTTCTTTAACGCTTTCACTGGGCTGTTTATTGAGCTGAATTGTGACTTTCTAATTTTGGGGTCTGTTTATTAGGCCGGGTGAAATCACAGCGCTGTCTTTCCTTCTCCTCCTCTTTCTCTCGTCTTGCCGCGTCGGTACAATTTCCTCATTGCCGCACTTTTCTTTGCTGCGCTCATTAGTCCTCTGATCTGCACACAATGCGCCATTATTAAAGCCGTAAATTCATCTATAATTCATGGCGCTCTCTTGTAAGTGGATGCCGTTTTGAGTTGGGGAAGGATTATTAAACTGCAGCTGGAAGCATTGCTCTTATGGATCGCGGTATGCCGAGGCGCACGAGAGCGAGGGGCTTACAGCGGAGGGGCGTGGAATAAAGGAAGAGCGCGGCTATCGGCGAAACCCGAACGCCTTTTTTACATCGCTTTTACAGCCTCTGCTGACTGGGACAAAAGAAGAGATCAATGATAATGAATTTTCTACTTGATTGTTTCTGGAAAAGGACATTATAGAGAGGCTACTGCCGCGTTTCGTGCCAGAGGCGTCCGCGCTCATCGGTCAGCTTCAAACCGTTGTTTCGTTGTGATCGGTCTACCTGGTTATAAAGCTGATCCCGGCCATATGCTTGCTGTATGTTATAGTAGAGGGGGCACAGGTCAGTGTGGCACAGTCTGCACATTTTAGACCAACCAGGGGCCGGATTACCAAATAGGCAGAGTAGGCACCAGCCTATGGGCTCCATGTCATTTAGGGGCCCCTTGATAACGGATGGAAATATTGATTGGATCCTGAAAGAAAATTACAGTGAAGCTTTCTTAAATACTTTGCAAAAAAAGATTATAATTTAATTGTACATTAATTATAAATTCATAATAAACAAATTATTTAATATACATTAAAGTCTCCATAGAGAAAATACTGTATGAACCTCTTGCCGAGTGAATGGCACAGACAGGCACCCACATGGGAGAAAAATATATCTCAAATATATTTCAAAAATATTCTTCACAAATATATTGGCATATTTGAAATACAATTTTGTCCGTATTCAATATACTTCAAAATATATTCCAATAAATAAATATATAGATCTCTCTCTACACACACAAGCCGTGATTTGTCATCATTGTGATGATTATGGCTTACAGCTCATGAAAACCCCAAATCCACAATCTCAGAAAATGAGAATATTCCATGCAAATCAATAAAACAAGGATTGTACATAGAACAATATCGGACCTCTGAAAAGTAGAAGCTGCATATGTACTCAGTACTTGGTTTGGGCCCCTTTTGCAGCAATTACTGCCTCAATGCGGCGTGGCATGGAAGCTATCAGCCTGTGGCACTGCTGAGGTGTTATGGAAGACCAGGATGCTTCAATAGCGGCCTTCAGCTCTTCTGCATTGTTCAGTCTCATGTCTCTCATCTTTCTCTTGGCAATGCCCCGTAGATTCTCTATGGGATTCAGGTCAGGCGAGTTTGCTGGCCAATCAAGCACAGTAATCCCACGGTCATTGAACCAGGTTTTGGTGCTTTTGGCAGTGTGGGCGGGGCCAAGTCCTGCTGGAAAATGAAGTCAGCATCCCCATAAAGCTCGTCTGTGGAAGGAAGCATGAAGTGCTCCAAAATCTCCTGGTAGACGGCTGCGGTTACCCTGGACTTAATGAAGCACAGTGAACCAACACCAGCAGATGACATGGCTCCCCAAATCAACACAGACTGTGGAAACTTCACACTGGACTTCAAGCATCTTGCAGCGTGTGCCTCTCCATTCTTCCTCCATACTCGGGGTCCTTGTGCCTCTCCATTCTTCCTCCATACTCGGGGTCCTTGTGCCTCTCCATTCTCCTCCATACTCGGGCTCCTTGGGCCTCTCCATTCTTCCTCCATACTCGGGCTCCTTGGGCCTCTCCATTCTTCCTCCATACTCGGGCTCCTTGGGCCTCTCCATTCTTCCTCCATACTCGGGCTCCTTGGGCCTCTTCATTCTTCCTCCATACTCTGGGTCCTTGTGCCTCTCCATTCATTCTTCTTCTATACTCTGGGGTCCTTGTGCCTCTCCATTCTTCCTCCATACTCGGGGTCCTTGGGCCTCTCCATTCTTCCTCCATACTCGGGGTCCTTGGGCCTCTCCATTCTTCCTCCATACTCCAGGTCCTTGGGCCTCTCCATTCTTCCTCCATACTCCAGGTCCTTGGGCCTCTCCATTCTTCCTCCATACTCGGGGTCCTTGGGCCTCTCCATTCTTCCTCCATACTCGGGGTCCTTGGGCCTCTCCATTCTTCCTCCATACTCGGGGTCCTTGGGCCTCTCCATTCTTCCTCCATACTCGGGGTCCTTGGGCCTCTCCATTCTTCCTCCATACTCGGGGTCCTTGGGCCTCTCCATTCTTCCTCCATACTCGGGGGTCCTTGGGCCTCTCCATTCTTCCTTCATACTCGGGGGTCCTTGGGTCTCTCCATTCTTCCTCCATACTCAGGGTCCTTGGTTTCCAAATGAGATGAAAAAGTTGCTCTCATCAGAAAAGAGGACTTTGGACCACTAAGCACCAGACCAGGTCTGTTTTTCTTTAGCCCAGGTAAGACGCTTCTGACATTGTTTGTTTGTTGTTCAGGAGCGGCTTGACAAGAGGAATACGACATGTCCAGGATCCATCTGTGTTTGTGGCTCTTGATGCACTGACTCCAGCCTCAGTCCACTCCTTGTGAAAGTCCCCAACACTTTTGAATGGCCTTTTCCTGACAATCCTCTCCTGGCTGCGGTCATCCCTGCTGCTTGTGCACCTTTTTCTTCCACACTTTTCCCTTCCACATAACTTTCTATTAATGTGCTTTGATACAGCACTTTGGGAACATCCAACTTCTTCTGCAATTCCCTTTTGAGGCTTTCCCTCCTTATGGAGGGTGTCAATGATGGTGTCAGGTCAGCAGTCTTTCCCATGATTGTGATTCCTACTGAACCAGACTGAGAGACCATTTAAAGGCTCAGGAACCCTTTGCAGGTGTTATGGCTTAATTAGCTGGAGCTGAAGGAGAACATTCTGTACTGGGTGAACTGGTGAAGGAGAACATTCTGTACTGGGTGAACTGGTGAAGGAGAACATTCTGTACTGGGTGAACTGGTGAAGGAGAACATTCTGTACGTGAACTGGTGAAGGAGAACATTCTGTATGGGTGAACTGGTGAAGGAGAACATTCTGTACTGGGTGAACTGGTGAAGGAGAACATTCTGTTCTGGGTGAACTGGTGAAGGAGAACATTCTGTACTGGGTGAACTGGTGAAGGAGAACATTCTGTACTGGGTGAACTGGTGAAGGAGAACATTCTGTACTGGGTGAACTGGTGAAGGAGAACATTCTGTACTGGGTGAACTGGTGAAGGAGAACATTCTGTACTGGGTGAACTGGTGAAGGAGAACATTCTGTTCTGGGTGAACTGGTGAAGGAGAACATTCTGTTCTGGGTGAACTGGTGAAGGAGAACATTCTGTTCTGGGTGAACTGGTGAAGGAGAACATTCTGTTCTGGGTGAACTGGTGAAGGAGAACATTCTGTTCTGGGTGAACTGGTGAAGGAGAACATTCTGTTCTGGGTGAACTGGTGAAGGAGAACATTCTGTTCTGGGTGAACTGGTGAAGGAGAACATTCTGTTCTGGGTGAACTGGTGAAGGAGAACATTCTGTTCTGGGTGAACTGGTGAAGGAGAACATTCTGTTCTGGGTGAACTGGTGAAGGAGAACATTCTGTTCTGGGTGAACTGGTGAAGGAGAACATTCTGTTCTGGGTGAACTGGTGAAGGAGAACTTTCTGTACTGGGTGAACCTAATACAGGTAGAAATGGATTTAAATCATCCGCCATAAAGTCGGTGCGGACTTTGGAATCATTTTCAAGTCTTTAACCAATCCACTGACATCGTCATGCAACAATTAACTGACCCGTCTCAGTAGTTAAGTGGTTGCTAACGATGCAGCAGACATTGAAGATGCATTATCTGAGCGTAAACCCTTCTTGTCCACTAATGGTTCACCTGAACCCGCGCGTGTGCGCGCCCTTCCATGGCCTGTAAAAAATCGCTGTTTCTCTATCGGCCCGCAGATCAATTATTTTGTAGGTCATTAATAAGTAAAAGATTAATACTTCACTCAATGCACGTAATGCGGCTGCCTGAAAAATATACATCACAGCTTCGCGTTTCCCCCTCCGGAGCGCAAAGACGACCGAAAAAAAAAAGAAAAAGATGAGCAAGACAAAGAATGCGGGGAGATAAGAGGACCACGACGATGAATAAAATATGACCTGAGTGGAATTCACGTGACTGCGCACTCACGTTTTACCAAAGGTAAAAAGAGCGCTTTGATGAAATCATCCCGTGATGCGCTTCCCCTCGGCGGGTTGCCTTTTTTTCAAAAAAGGCAGCGCATACAATCGAGAAAATAAATCAAGAAGTACGGACGATGCGGATGGAAATGTACGGCGAGCTCAAACGGACGGAACAAAGACATAATGCAGCTGATAGAAGGGATGTGCGCAGCATGGCGGCCGTTCATACAGAAGCTTGTCAGCGACATTATTATTGGCGATGGCGTTCAGCATTGAAGGCCATGCACGTGGATCGCCTTGAGACTGCGACCAAACAGCATGTAATGGAGCAATGTGCTGCCTGCCCTGCTGTCACCCGTGCCAACCAATCAGATTTACTCTTTCATTGTCCTGACTGATGCAAACTAATGGAAGGTGAAATCTTTCTGGTTGCTGAGATTTACTGCAGTTTTAACCCTTTCGCTGCACTTTAGGTCCCAATTCACAAAGCTTTAACACAGAAAATTCATTGTACTCATATGACTATTTTTTTTTTTTTTAACTTAAAGCAGAACTCCAACCTCCCCTCCAGTCTTGCACAGGTGTACCGGCTCCTCCCCTCCAGTCTTGCACAGGTGTACCGGCTCCTCCCCTCCAGTCTTGCACAGGTGTACCGGCTCCTCCCCTCCAGTCTTGCACAGGTGTACCGGCTCCTCCCCTCCAGTCTTGCACAGGTGTACCGGCTCCTCCCCCTCCGGTCTTGCACAGGTGCATCGGCTTCCCCTCCGCTTGCACAGGTGCATCGGCTCCTCCCCTCCCTCCGGTCTTGCACCAGGTGCATCGGCTCCTCCCCTCCAGTCTTGCACAGGTGCATCGGCTCCTCCCCTCCAGGTGCATCGGCTCCTCCCCTCCGTCTTGCACAGGTGCATCGGCTCCTCCCCTCCGGTCCAGGTCTCCTGCCCTCCGGTCTTGCAGGTGCATCGGCTCCTCCCCTCCAGTCTTGCGCAGGTGCATCGGCTCCTCCCCTCCAGTCTTGCACAGGTGCATCGGCTCCTCCCCTCCGGTCTTGCACAGGTGCATCGGCTCCTCCCCTCCGGTCTTGCACAGGTGCATCGGCTCCTCCCCTCCGGTCTTGCACAGGTGCATCGGCTCCTCCCCTCCGGTCTTGCACAGGTGCATCGGCTCCTCCCCTCCGGTCTTGCCCAGGTGCATCGGCTCCTCCTCCGGTCTTGCACAGGTGCATCGCTCCTCCTCTCCGTCTTGCCCAGGTGCACCGGCTCCTCCTCTCTCGGTCTTGCCCAGGTGCACCGGCTCCTCCTCTCCGGTCTTGCCCAGGTGCACCGGCTCCTCCTCTCCGGTCTTGCCAGGTGCACCGGCTCCTCCTCTCGGGTCTTGCCCAGGTGTACCGGCTCCTCCTCTCCGGTCTTGCCCAGGTGTACCGGCTCCTCCTCTCCGGTCTTGCCCAGGTGTACCGGCTCCTCCTCTCTCTTGCCCAGGTCCGGCTCCTCCTCTCCGGTCTTGCCCAGGTGTACCGGCTCCTCCTCTCCGGTCTTGCCCAGGTGTAGCGGCTCCTCCCTTTCGGTCTTGCACAGGTGTAGCGGCTCCTCCCCTCGGTCTTGCACAGGTGTACCGGATCCTCTCCTGGTCTGCAATGGCTTCCTCTGATATCACTGCACACTGGAAGACTCTCACAATGTGCATTAGAAGCTGCAGCAATCAAATAGAGCTCTGCCTCATTTCCTGGCTGGAGGATGTCCAGAATCATCTAGCTCTTTCCTCCCCAGCTTGAGTGACCCAAGCACTGGTTTTGCATTTCAGTTCAGGGAGGTGTACTGAGGCAGGGTGCTGTGATGTTTTCAGGAAGCTATGTCCACCCCTCTGCCAGCCGCTCCCACCAGCCATGATCTGCCTGCATTGCAGAGAAGCACAGAGACCCAGTGATAACATCCAGAGCCTGATCTCTCAATAGGCACTGTAGGCATGTGCCTACAGGCACCCTTCCTAGAGGGGCACCCACCTGTATGATTTTTTTTTTTCCAGATGTCCCGAGGAGTCCTTGAAAAGAAGGTCTGTCACGGACAGCTGAGCTGCTTGCAGTGAACGTGTAAGTACTTTGTACAGTCATCCCAGTACAGCAGAGCTTAGACTGGTAGAGGCGGGAGCAGAACAAGGAGCTGATCAGCCAATGAAAGATTGGAATGACAGATACAGGAGTCACTCAGTGTGTTGCTTCTAATCATTGTGCTGCTTCTTCATCCGGTCACAGGGTGCGGAGGAGACCTGTAAGTGAATGTGAAACTGCAGTAAAAATTAGGTTCCCCCATTCCCACTTCCTTTAACCATGTACAGTATTTAGCTCTTTTTCTGGAGCTCAGCTGTAAAATCTCATTGGAGTGCTGAAAATAACTGTCAATGCATCTGATTGAAAATAACTGTCACTTTTTTTTGTAATTAAGGCTTCCTCCCCCGATGTGCCAGCTTTGTGGATTGAGCCTTTTGCGTCTTTCTACACCATTGGTGGGCTTTACATCGGCCGCGTGCGATATTTCGGGTCATGCAGCCAGCGTCGGCGCTCTGAGGGTTGTATTTCGGATATCACGCGGTGCGAGGGAGAGAAGAAATGTAGCATGTGAAATGTAACAAATGTTCTGACATGTTGTAATTCGCCGGCAAGATGTCAGATGAGCGAGCTGGCAGATTACACAGCGAAAAAAAAAATCTGCTTTGTGCAGCGCGAGCGGAACATTGGGGACACTCGGAGCGAAGAGTACAGCTGTTCAGAGAACCATATACAGAGATAAAAGGAAAGCGGACGGAGCTCTGTCTACAGGGATCAGGCCTAGAAAACCGCAGAGAGGGGAAAAGAGGAGCTGCACATATGGAAAGCCGTGTGTGTGTGTGTGTGTGTGTGTGTGTGTGTGTTGGTGGAGGAGGAAGCAGTGCTGGATCAGTAATCTGTATAAAAAGGGACAATACAGTATGTATGTCAGATAGGGGAAGAGGAAGCCGTACTGGATCAATAAATTGTATATAAAGTGATGGTGTGCATCGTATCGCATAGTAAAGGAGGAAGCCGCTCTGGATTAATGATATAGTGGAGGAGGAAGCAGTGCTGGATCAGTAATCAGTACGCATAGTGACAATGTGTGTCAGATCGTGGAGGAGGAAGCAGTGCTGATCTTTTCACCCTCTTGTAGTGCTGTGTTCTTGGTGTGGACTGTGCACATTCCCTGCATTAGGATGGACTGGTAATAGTGACGGGATGGTGGTTGTCACCGGTTTTTTGTTTTGGGTTTGTTTGGTAAAGACTGAGACTGCACTGCCAGGATGTCCTAATTCCTACATGTAAAGCTCAATAATCATCATCATCATCATCATCCAACACTCATCATCATCATCATCATCATCACCGTCTTCCAATATTATCATCCATTATGATCATTATCATCCATCGTCATCTTCATCCATCTCCATCCATCTTCAATTGTTGTCATTATCATCATGTTCCATCTTCTATTATCCACATCTATATTATCTTCATCCATCATCATCATCTTCTATCGTCATCTTCATCCATCTCCATCCATCATCATCTTCAATTGTCATCATCCATCATCATGTTCCATCATCTCTTCTAACGTCATCTTCATCCACATCATCATCTTCATCCTTCTCCATCCATCATCATCTTCAATCGTCATTCATCTCATCCACCATCCATCCATCATGTTCCATCATCATGCTCCATCATCTATTATCCTCATCCATATCATCTTCATCCATCTCCATCCATCATCTTCCATCATCATCTTCATCCATCGTCATCTTCATCCATCTCCATCCATCATTATCTTCCATCATATCATCTTCATCCATCTCCATCCATCATATCTTCAAACATCATCATCATCCATCATCCATCATCATGCTCCATCATCTTCTATTCTCCTCATCCATATCCATCATATCATCTGCATCCATCATCAATCATCGTGTTCTGTCATCATCTTCATCCATCATCACCCATCATCTTCTGCCATCGACATCTTCATCCATCATCATCTTCTGCCCATCCACATCTCATCATCTCCATCATCATCCTCCATCATGATCGGCGTTGGATGACGTATTCTCAGTTTGGCTCATTGAGCTGCTTGGATTGTTGGAAAAGAGACGTTTGTTGTCTTCATTCTCTATATTGTTGTTTTTTTGTGTCTTTTTTGTGAAAAGTCTATAATTGGGGTGGGATTCGCCCACCCACCACCACCACTAACACCCCCCCCCCCCCCCCACCACTTTAAAGCGGTATTAAACCCAACACCATAAATGTCCTATATTGCAGCTTACTGATCATTAGATGTGGCGGCTGCATTAGTTTTCTCTTTTTCAGGCTTCTTTTCCCCTCTGTTTTCACCTGGTGATCTGATCAGTACCACACCTCCTGTATTAGAGTGCCCCCACTCTGGATGAAGGAGTACAGGGGCACAGCAGACAGCAACATTGTCAGTCCTGGGGGGGAGGAGAGTGTTAGATGGACTAGCAGATTTAGATACACTAACTGAAGCCAAATTCCAGCTCACGCTTTACAGCGATTACAGCAAATTGTTTTTTTTTTTTTTCCTTTTTGGTGTAGAAGGTTTTACATCCTGTAAATTAAAAGCTGATCATTGTAGGCACCCTTGCCAGTGGTTAATGGTTTGTCTCAACACTCTAACTGCTACATTTGAAGGAGGTTCAGTTGAAAAGCAACAGACTTACAGGCCAGAATCACAAGGTGACAATAAAAGAAAGGAAGCCTAAAAGAGAAAACGAATGCAACCGCCGCATCTACGGATTTGTAAGCTGCAATATTATAAATGTTTGCTTTAATATCCCTTAAATTTTTGCCTCCCCCCCCCCCCCCTCCACCTCATCCACTCCAATGCATGTCGGCAAAATGTCGAATTTCCACTGAAATTTTCTGAATTTCGCCAAAACTTCAGGGAAATGAAAACATGCGATTTCACTCATTCCTAACTGCTGTACACTGATGAGCGACGACATCTGGTTGCCATCGGATACCGCAGCGTGCGCGTCATCGACTCTTCTGCGATCAGCCTACGCGTGTCTGTCTGTCAAACGTCTCCGCGTCTTCTGGGTGACATTGTGCGTTCTTTGTCTGGTGTTCAGTCCTGCTGATGGTGACACATTCTTCAGCTCTAATGGATCTCAGGAAGAGATGACAGCGGCGCGGCCCTTTATGAATGACATCACGGTGGAGCCGCGCCGGCTGCAGCCAGCAGTTCAGAAGTTAAGTTTGTGTAAATCCTGGAGGTAGAAGCGTCTCTTCCCCCTAAGTGCTCCATTTCCAGGTCAGTGAGCGCACAGCCCCTGTGTGCTGTCACTACGCATCGCTCTGCGGGTGCACCGTGCCCTGCTCCTGGGGGAACGCAGCACAGCAAGAGCTTACACTGAGAGACACGCTGCACCCCCCCCAACACCGCCAGAGTCCTACTACCTTCACTAATACAGCATGAGGGAAGAGACTGGGGGGGGGGGAGAGACACGCTGCACCCCCCCCCCCAACACCGCCAGAGTCCTACTACCTTCACTAATACAGCATGAGGGGAAGAGGGAAGGGACTGGGGGGGGGGGAGAGACACGCTGCACCCCCCCCCCCAACACCGCCAGAGTCCTACTACCTTCACTAATACAGCATGGGGGGAGAGGGAAGAGACTGGGGGGGGGAGAGACACGCTGCACCCCCCCCCCCCAACACCGCCAGAGTCCTACTACCTTCACTAATACAGCATGAGGGGAGAGGGGGAGACTGGGGGGGGGACACGCTGCACCCCCCCCCCCCCAACACAGCCAGAGTCCTACTACCTTCACTAATACAGCATGAGGGGAGGGGGGAGAGGGAAGAGAGTCCTACTACCTTCACTAATACAGGGGGGGGGGGAGAGACACGGCAACCCCCCCCCCCCACACCGAGAGACACGCTGCACCCCCCCCCCCCCCAACACCGCCAGAGTCCTACTACCTTCACTAATACAGCATGAGGGGAGAGAGACTGGGGGGGGGGGGAGAGACACGCTGCACCCCCCCCCACACCCGCCAGAGTCCTACTACCTTCACTAATACAGCATGAGGGGAGAGGGAAGAGACTGGGGGGGGGAGAGACACGCTGCACCCCCCCCCCCCAACACCGCCAGAGTCCTACTACCTTCACTAATACAGCATGAGGGGAGAGGGGGGAGACGGGGGGGGGGGAGAGACAGGAGGGGAGAGACACGCTGCACCCCCCCCCCACACTGACAGAGTCCTACTACCTTCACTAATACAGCATGAGGGGAGACGGGGAGGGGGAGAGACTGGAGGGGAGAGACACGCTGCACCCCCCCCCCCCCCCCCCCCAACACCGCCACAGAGTCCTACTACCTTCATTAATACAGCATGGGGGGAGAGGGGACGGGGAGGAGACTGGAGGGGAGAGACACGCTGCAAACCCCCCCCCCCAACACAGCCAGAGTCCTACTACCTTCACTAATACAGCATGAGGGGAGAGGGGAGAGACGCTGCAGCCCCCCCCCCTTCCAACACCGCCAGAGTCCTACTACCTTCACTAATACAGCATGAGGGGAGGGGGGATAGGGGAGAGACACTGCTGAGGGGGATAGGGAGAGATACGCCCCCCCCCCCCCAACACCGCCAGAGTCCTACTACCTTCACTAATACAGCATGGGGGGAGAGGGGAGAGGGGACGAGGGGAGAGACAGGAGGGGAGAGACACGCTGCACCCCCCCCCCCCCCCCAACACTGACAGAGTCCTACTACCTTCACTAATACAGCATGAGAGGGGAGACGAGGGGGAGACTGCAGAGACCGCCCCCCCCCAACACAGCCAGAGTCCTACTACCTTCACTAATACAGCATGAGAGGGGGATAGGGGAGAGACACGCTGCACCCCCCCCCCCCCCCAACACCGCCAGAGTCCTACTACCTTCACTAATACAGCATGGGGGGAGAGAGGGTATAGGGGAGAGACTGGAGGGGAGAGACGCTGCACCCCCCCAACACCGCCAGAGTCCTACTACCTTCACTAATACTGGGAGAGGGGGGAGAGGGGAGAGACTGGAGGGGAGAGACACGCTGCACCCCCCCCCCCCCCCCCCCTACTACCTTCACTAATACAGCATGAGGGGAGACAGGGGACTGGAGGGGAGAGACAGAGCCAGAGTCCTACTACCTTCACTAATACAGCATGATGGGAGAGGGGGAGAAAGGGAGAAGGAAGAGATGGGGGGGGGGGGGGGAGAGGGGGGGGGTGGGCTAGAGGGGAGAGGACATGGGAGAGGGGGAGAAAGGAGGGGGGGGAGGAAAGGACACGGGAGGGGGGAGATGGGGGGAGGGAAGAGACACGGGAGAGGGGGGGAGACAGGGGGAGAGAGAGGGGAGAGGGAAGAGACACGGGAGAGGGGAGAGACGGGAGAGAGGGGGGAGGGGAGAGACACGGGGAGAGAGGGGGGGGGAGACAGGGGAGAGGAGAGGGAGAGGGGAGGAGAGACAGGGGAGAGAGGGGATGGGGGACAGGGGAGAGGGAAGGGGCGACGGGGAGAGACGGGGGGGGAGAGGGATGGGGGGAGGGGAGGATGGGGGGGGAGAGGGGAGACGGGGGGGGGGAGGGGAGAGAGAGCGAGAGATGGGGGAGGGAGGGGGGGGGAAGAAGAGAGAGATTTAAGAGAGGGAGAGAGATGGGGGGGAGACAGCAGAGAGAGGAGAGAGCCACAAGTATCATCAGTGAGGGACGCTCACTGCCAGAGACTCTCCGCTCTCACCCCGGACTTCACTTCTAGAGAAGAGAGGAGGAAACTCCAAATTCTCCTGGGAGAAGAGGAGCCAATGGTAGAACTAGCTGCACAATACACAATGACAGAATGCCACAGACGGAGAGTGAGGGAAGGGGGGGGGGGAGTAAAGGGGGGGGAGAGGGGGGGGGAAGGGGGGGGGGGGAGGGGAAAGAGTGGGGGAGGGGGGGTGAGAGAGGGGGGGGAGAGGGAGGGGGGAGGGACTGAGGGAGGGAGGGAGGGAGGGAGGGGTTGAGAGGGGAGGGAGGGGGAGGGGAGAGGGGGGGGGAGGGGGGGGGGGGGGGGGGGGGGGGGGGGGGGGGGAGGGGGGGAGGAGGGAGGGGGGGGGAGGGGGGGGGGGGGGGAGGGGGGGGGAGGGGGGGGGGGGGAGGGGGGGGGGGGGGGGGGGGGGGGGGGGGGGGAGGGGGGGGGGGGGGGGGGGGGAGGGAGGGAGGGGAGGGGGGGGGGGGGGGGGGGGGGGGGGGGGGGAGGGGGGGGGGAGGGGGGGGGGGGGGGAGTGGGGGAGGGTGAGGGGGGGGGAGAGGGGGGGGGGGGAGGGGGGGGGGGGGGAGGGGGGGGGGGGGGGGGGGGGGGGGAGGGGGGGGGGGGGGGAGGGAGGGGGGAGGGGGGGGGGGGGGGGGGGGGGGGGAGGGGGGGGGGGGGGGGGGGGGGGGGGGGGGGAGGGGGGGGGGGGGGTGGGGGGGGGGGGGGGGAGGGGGGGGGGGGGGGGGGGGGGGGGGGGGGGGGGGGGGGGGGGAGGGGGGGGGGGGGGGGGGGGGGGGGGGGGGGGAGGGGGGGGGGGGGGTAGGGGGGGGGGGGGGGGGGGGGGGGGGGGGGGGGGGGGGGGGGGAGGGGGGGGGGGGGGGGGGGAGGAGGGGGGGGGGGGGGAGGGGGGGGGGGGGGGGGAGGGAGGGGGGAGGGGGAAGGGGGGGGGGGGGGAGGGGGGGGGAGGGGGGGGGGGGGGGGGGGAGGGGTGGAGGGGGGGGGGGGGGGGGGGGGGGGGGGAGGGGGGGGGGGGGGGGGGGGGGGGGGGAGAGGGGGGGGGGGGGGGGGGTGGGGGGTGGGGGGGGGGGGGGGTGGGGGGGGGGGGGGGGGGGGGGGGGGGGGGGGGGGGGGGGGGGGGGGGTTTGCTATTTTATACTCTTGTTATAATGAAGTAAATACATTCTGGAAGAAAATCTTATCTCCAGAATTACTTTTCTGGTGTAAAGAGAAACAGTTTACCACAGAAGAATGTTCGCTGGTACCGGTAGATCAATTTGCAAAGTCTTCTCTGCTCCTTAGTAAATGCCCCTCGCCCCCGATCATGGTCCTGACTGCATACCTTCCTCCCCACCCCCACCCCGGCCGAAGTCCAGGGCAATGACTGGTATCATTTTGGGTTGAATGGTTAGCAGTTTGTTATTTCTCATTATTAATACTGAAGTCTGATAAACAATATGTAACCTGTTACTCCGATATTCTCTTCTGCCCGGAGGATGACCGGTCATGGACTGTATCACTTACACTGTCCCTTCTCCCTGCAGGCGGGCAATGCCGTTTGGATGTGTGACGTTAGGTGACAAAAAAGATTACAATCAGCCCACGGAAGTCAGCGACAAATATGACTTGGGCCAGCTCATCAAGACGTGAGTATGAAACCGCAATAACGAAGTCGCTACTCTCTGCTACCACATCGAAGAACGCACTTTAAAAGCGATTTTAAAACCCAGAAACAAACCATTATTATTTATTAATGTTAACCCATATTAAATATATTAAATAATTAATATATTTAGAAAAAATAAATTTATATATATATATATATATATATATATATATATATATATATATATATATATATATATATATATTTATTTATTTTACACTCAGGTCCATAAATATTGGGACATTGGACATAATTCTATAACATTTTTGGCTCTATACACCACACAATGGATTTGAAATGAAACTAACAAGATCTGCTTTAACTGCAGGCTGTCAGCTTTAATGTGAGGGTATTTACATCCAAATCAGGTGAACGGTGTAGGAATTACAACAGTTTGCATATGTGCCTCCCACTTGTTAAGGGACCAAACCTGAGTAATGGGACAGAATAATAATCATAAATCAAACTTTCACTTTTTTAATACTTGGTTTGCAAATCCTTTGCAGTCAATTACTGCCTGAAGTGTGGAACGCATAGACATCACCAGACGCTGGGTTTCATCCCTGGTGATGCTCTGCCAGGCCTCTACTGCAACTGTCTTCCATTCCTGCTTGTTCTTGGGGCATTTTCCCTTCAGTTTTGTCTTCAGCAAGTGAAATGCTCAACCGGATTCAGGTCAGGTGATGGACTTGGCCATTGCAGAACATTCCACTTCTTTCCCTTAAAAAACTCTTTGGTTGCTTTTGCAGTCTGCTTTGGGTCATTGTCCTTCTGCACTGTGAAGCGTCCAATGAGTTGTGAAGCATTTGGCTGAATATGAGCCGATAATATTCCCGAAACACTTCAGAATTCATCCGGCTGCTTCTGTCAGCAGTCACATCATCAATAAATACAAGAGAAGCAGTTCCATTGGCAGCCATACATGCCCACGCCATGACACTACCACCACCATGCTTCACTGATGAGGTGGGATGCTTAGGATCATGAGCAGTTCCTTCTCCATACTCTTCTCTTCCCATCACTCTGGTACAAGTTGATGTCGGTCTCATCTGTCCATAGGATGTTGTTCCAGAACTGTGAAGGCTTTTTTACATGTCGTTTGGCAAACTCTAATCTGGCCTTCCTGTTTTTGAGGCTCACCAATGGTTTCCATCTTGTGGTGAACCCTCTGTATTCACTCTGGTGAAGTCTTCTCTTGATTGTGTGACTTTGACACACATACACCTACCTCCTGGAGAGTGTTCTTGATCTGGCCAACTGTTGTGAAGGGTGTTTTCTTCAGGGAAAGAATTCTTTTCGCTCATCCCACCACAGTTGTTTTCCGTGGTCTTCCGGGTCTTTTGGTGTTGCTGAGCTCACCGGTGCATTCCTTCTTTTTAAGAATGTTCCCAACAGTTGTTTTTGCCACGCCTAATGTTTTTGCTATCTCTCTGATGGGTTTGTTTTGTTTTTTCAGCCTAATGATGGCTTCACTGATAGTGACAGCTCTTTGGATCTCATCTTGAGAGTTGACAGCAACAGATTCCAAATGCAAATAGCACACTTGAATTGAACTCTGGACCTTTTATCTGTTCATTGTAATTGGGATAGTAAGGGAATAACACACTCCTGGCCATGGAACAGCTGAGAAGCCAATTGTCCCATATTACTTTTGGCCCCTTAACAAGTGGGAGGCACATATGCAAACTGTTGTAGTTCCTACACCGTTCACCTGATTTGGATGTAAGTACCCTCAAATTAAAGCTGACAGTCTGCAGTTAAAGCACATCTTGTTCGTTTCATTTCAAATCCATTGTGGTGGTGTATAGAGCCAAAAATGTTAGAATTGTGTCGATGTCCCAATATTTTATGGACCTGACTGTGTGTATGTGTATATTTATATATATAAAAATGTTGTTTTATTATTTTAATATAATATATACAATAATTTAATCATAAATATTTTATATTTATATATTATTATTATTATTAATATTAAACCTCAAATTATTATCATTCAACTGCTTAGCAATTCTTAGATGTGACGGCTGCATTTGTTTTCTTTTTTAGACTCTTTCTGCTGTTTTTCACCAGGTGATCCAGCCAGTAAGTCTGTATTGTTTTTCAACAAGCTGTCTTGCAGTTACAGGGACGGGACACAAACCATGTAATACTGGCAGGGGTGCTGACAATGATTCAGCTTTTATTTATTTATGTAAAGCCTTTATCCCAAAAATAAAAACAAAAAAAAAACTGCTGTAACTGCTTATACAGTGTGATTTTGGCTTCACTTGTTAGTGTATCTAAATCTGCTAGTCCATCTAACACTCCCCTTCACCCAGATTAACTATGATGCTGTCCAAAAGTTTCCCCTGTGCTCCTTGATCCAGAGTGGGGGCGCTCTAATACAGGAGGTGTGCTACTGGCCGGATCACCAGGTGGAAAACAGAATAAAGGCCTAAAAAAAAAAAAGAAAACAAATGCAGCCGCCACATCTAATGATTGGTAAACTGAAATATATTACAATTTTGGTTTCGGCTTGATACTCTATTTTTTCTTAACCATTCATTTATTGCAGGATTGTGTCATTTGTAGAGTTCCTCCGTTCTTTTCTCTTCTAGGATTTCCTAGTCTTGTCTGACTCTGCAATGAGAAAAAAAAAAATAAAAATAAATAAATCTTACAATGTATGACTAAACGCACCGTGCAGTGTGCACACTCCTACTGACAGGGCCCTGCCGGGCTACACTAGAGAAAATAGGGGGAGGACTATGGTCACATGGTCTATGGACACCTGAAAAACCATAGGAGGGAACTTGCTGCGGGTTATTAAAGAGAAAAAAAAGCTGAGTCAGCAGAAAATTTGGCCGAAAAAGTTACCATAAGGAGTGATTGTAGCGATGATCCTGTAGATGGAATTAAAAACGTCACAAATGTTTTACCCCACAGAGAGGAATTCTGCGAAGTCTTCAGAGCCAAAGACAAATCAACTCAGGAAAACTTTATACCTGCAAACAGCTTCCTGAAGAGAGATGGCGCCGCAAAGTCCCGCAAGGCGGCCAAAAATGAGATCAACATCCTCAAAATGTGTTGCTGCAAGGATTGGAGTCCCCTATATACCTGTATATATTAGTCCACTGTTGGGGGGTCTATCCCCAATTATACCTGTATATATCCCCACTGGGAGGATTATCCCCTATTATACCGAAGTATATATCCACTGTGGGGATTAACCCCCTATATACCTGTATATATCCACTGTTGGGGATTATCCCCTATATACTGTATATATCCCACTGTGAGGATTATCCCCTATTACCTGTATATTAATCCCACTGTGGGGATTATCCCCTATATACCTGTATATATCCCACTGTGGGGATTATCCCTATATACCTGTATATAGTCCACTGTTAGGGGATTATCACCCTATTTACCTGTATATTGTCCCACTGTGAGGATTATCCCCTATTTAGGATCAACTGTATATAGTCCACTGTGGGGATTATCCCCTATATACCTGTATATATCCACTGTGAGGATTATCCCCTATATACCTGTATATATCCCACTGTGAGGATTTATCCCCTATATATCAACTGGCCTGTATATATCCCACTGGGAGGATTATCCCCTATATTACCTGTATATATCCCACTGTGGGGATTATCCCCTATTATACCTGTATATATCCCACTGTGGGGGAATTATCCCCCTATATACCTGTATATAAACTGTCCCACTGTGGGGATTATCCCCTATATACCTGTATATATCCCACTGTGAGGATTATCCCCTATATACCTGTATATATCCCACTGTGGAGGATTATCCCCCTATATACCTGTATATATCCCACTGTGGGGATTATCCCCTATACACCTGTATTATATCCCCACTGTGGGATTATCCCCTATATTACCTGTATATATCCCACTGTGGGGATTATCCCCTATATACCTGTATATATCCCACTGTGGGGATTATCCCCTATACACCTGTATATATCCCACTGTGGGGATTATCCCCTATATACCTGTTATAGTATCGTCCATGGGTGAGGGATTATCCCCTATACACCTGTTTTCTATATCCACTGTGAGGATCTATTCCCTATGTTACCTTGGTATATGGGGACTGTGAGGATTATCCCCATTTACCTCTATATATACCTTTGCTGTGAGGTTTCCCCTTATACTACCTGTATATATCCCACTGTGTCATCGATGATTTATCCCCTATATACCTGTATATATCCCACTGTGGGGTTTATCCCCTTTATACCTGTATATATCCCACTGTGGGGAGGATTATCCCCTATTTACCTGTATATAGTCCACTGTGGGGATTATCCCCTATATACACCTGTATATATCCCACTGTGAGGATTATCCCCTATATACCTGTATATATATCCCTACTGTGAGGATTATCCCTATATACTGTATATATCCACTGTGGGGATTATCCCCTATATACCTGTATATATCCCACTGTGGGGATTATTCCCCTATATACCTGTATTTATCCCACTGTGGGGATTTCCCCTATATACCTGTATATATCCACTGTGGGGATTATCCCCTATACACCGTATATATCCCACTGTGGGGATTTTCCCCTATATACCACCTGTATATATCCCACTGTGGGATTTCCCCTATATTATCTGTTTATAGTCCCACTGTGAGGATTATCCCCTATATACCTGTATATATCCCACTGTGGGGATTATCCCCTATACACCTGTATATATGCCCACTGTTGGGATTATCCCCTATATTCCTGTATTATAGTCCCACTGTGGGGATTATCCCCTATACACCTGTATATATCCCACTGTGGGGATTATCCCCTATATACCTGTATATATCCCACTGTGGGGATTATCCCCCTATATACCTGTATATAGTCCCACTGTGGGGATTTATCCCCTATATACCTGTATATATCCACTGTGGGGATTATCCCCTATATACCTGTATATTCCCACTGTGGGATTATCCCCTATTGTTACCTGTATATATCCCACTGTGGGGATTATCCCCTATATACCTGTTATATCCCACTGTGGGGGATTATCCCCTATATACCTGTATATATCCCACTGTGGGGGATTATCCCCTATAATTACCTGTATATATCCCACTGTGGGGATTATCCCCTATATACCTGTATATATCCCACTGTGGGGATTATCCCCCATATACACCTGTATATATCCCACTGTGGGGATTATCCCCTTTACACCTGTATATATCCCACTGTGGGGATTTTCCCCTATACACCTGTATATATCCCACTGTGGGGATTATCCCCTATACACCTGTATATATCCCACTGTGGGATTATCCCCTATACACCTGTTATATATCCCACTGTGGGGATTATCCCCTATACACCTGTATATATCCCACTGTGGGGATTATCCCCTATACATACCTGTATATATCCCACTGTGGGGATTATCCCCTATACACCTGTATATATCCACTGTGGGGATTATCCCCTATATACACCTGTATATAGTCCACTGTGGGGATTATCCCCTATATACCTGTATATAGTCCACTGTGGGGATTATCCCCTATATACCTGTATATAGTCCCACTGTGGGGATTATCCCCTATATACCTGTTATATATCCCACTGGGGGGATTATCCCCTATATACCTGTTATATATCCACTGTGGGGATTTTATCCCCTATACACCTGTATATATCCCACTGGGGGATTATCCCCTATATCACCTGTATATATATTTCCCACTGTGGGGATTTATCCCCTATATACCTGTATATATCCCACTGTGGGGATTATCCCGATATACAAAACTTGTATTATATCCCACTGTGGGGATTTATCCCCTACCAGATACACCTGTATATAATCCCACTGTGGGATTAATCCCCCTATATACCTGTATATATCCCACTGGGAGATTTATCCCCTTCTATATACCTGTATATATCCCACTGTGGGGATTATCCCCTATATACCCTTGTATATATCCACTGTGAGGGATTATCCCCTATATACCTGTATATATCCCACTGTGGGGATTATCCCCTATATCACCTGGTATATATCCCACTGTGGGGATTATCCCCTATATATACCTGTATATAGTCCCACTGTGGGATTATCCCCTATACACCTGTATATATCCACTGTGGGGATTATCCCTATACACCTGTATATATCCCACTGTGGGGATTATCCCCTATATACCTGTAATATATCCCACTGTGGGGATTATCCCCTATATACCTGTATATATCCCACTGTGGGATTATCCCCTATATACCCTGTATATAGTCCACTGTGAGGGATTATCCCCTATATACCTGTATATATCCCACTGTGGGGATTATCCCCCTATACACCTGTATATATCCCACTGTGGGGATTATCCCCTATACACCTGTATATATCCCACTGTGAGGATTATCCCCTATACACCTGTATATAGTCCCCACTGTGGGGATTATCCCTATATACCTGTATATATCCCTACTGTGGGGATTATCCCCTATATACCTGTATATATCCCACTGTGGGGATTATCCCCTATATTTACTGTATATATCCCCTGTGAGGATTATCCCACTGTGGGGATTATCCTATATACCTGTATATATCCCACTGTGGGGATTATTATCCCCTATATACCTGTATATATCCCACTGGGGGATTATCCCCTATATACCTGTATATATCCCACTGTGAGGATTATCCCCTATATACACCTGTATATATCCCACTGTGGGGATTATCCCCTATATACCTGTATATATCCCAACTGTGGGGATTATCCCCTATATACCTGTATATATTCCACTGTGGGGATTATCCCCTATACACCTGTATATTTTCCCACTGTGAGGATTATCCCCTATATACCTGTATATATCCCACTGTGGGGATTATCCCCTATATACCTGTATATATCCCACTGTGGGGATTATCCCCTATATACCTGTATATATCCCACTGTGGGGATTATCCCCTATACACCTGTATATAGTCCCACTGTGGGGATTATCCCCTATATACCTGTAAATATCCCATGTGGGATTATCCCTATATACCTGTATATATCCCACTGTGGGGATTATCCCCCTATACACCTGTATATAGTCCCACTGTGGGGATTATCCCCTATATACCTGTATATATCCCACTGTGGGGATTATCCCCTATACACCTGTATATAGTCCCACTGTGGGGATTATCCCCTATACACCTGTATATAGTCCCACTGTGGGGATTATCCCCTATATACCTGTATATAGTCCCACTGTGGGGATTATCCCCTATTTCACCTGTATATAGTCCACTGTGGGGATTATCCCCTATATACCTGTATATAGTCCACTGTGGGGATTATCCCCTATATACCTGTATATATCCCACTGTGGGGATTATCCCCTATATACCCTGTATTCAGTCCACTGGGAGGATTATCCCCTATATAACCTGTATATAGTCCACTGTGGGGATTATCCCCTATACACTTGTATATATCCCTGTGGGGATTTATCCCCTATACACCTGTATATATCCACTGTGGGATTATCCCCTATATACCTGTATATAGTCCACTGTGGGGATTATCCCCCTATACACCTGTTATATATCCCAATGTGGGGATTATTCCCTATATACCTGTATGTATTCTGTTGTGGTAATGTATCTCCTATATATCTGTCCTTGATTCAGTAATTTCTGTCCACTGCTCCCCGCTCAGTGTCGACCCCCTTTCATTCCTTGCAGGGTAAAAGCACCCCAACATTCTGCAGCTGGTCGATGTGTTTGAGACCAAGAAGGAATATTTCATCTTCCTGGAGCTGTGAGTATTCTCTGCCTGACCCATCGATGTGTTTCCTGAACATCACACAACACAAATGCAGCAGATCTTCACTCCACCGAAATGTTTGATATCGAAGCACCTTTGTTGTTCACACTCCTGACACAGAGGGCGCCACCACCCTGCAGAGCCTTCTGTGTCTTCTCCCGGCCAGGGACTATGAAGCATCCTCATCCCACTAGTGGGGACCAATCCCTAGAGACACCATAACTACAATCCTGTTCTAGAAGCACCCACTACTCTGTATGGTCCCATGAGGTGACTTGACCGCAATTCAATCCCAAGAGTCACCCTGCCCACAGTCCAGTCCCTAGAGGTACCCTGACCAGTCCCTATAGGTGTCCTGCCCACTGTCTGGTATCTAGAAGAGCTTTGACCACTGTCCAGTCCCTAGAGGCTCCCTGACCACTAACAAGTCCTCAGAGGTGCTCTAACTACCTTCCTGTTCTAGAGGCGCCCACTATCTTTGGTCCTTAGAGCTGCCCTGACCACTGTCCAGTCCCAATAGACACGCTGCCTACTGTCCATTCCCTAGAGGTGCCCTGACCACCGTTCAATCCCCAGAGGAGCCCTGATCCCCTGTCCAGTGCCTAGAGACACCCTGTCCACTGTCCAGTCTCTAGAGACTTCCTGACCACCATCCAGTCCCTAGATGCACTGATCAACTGAATAACGTCCAGTAGTCCCTAGAAGCACCCTGACAAGTGTCCAGTCCTTAGAGGCAACCCTAACCAACATCCAGTTACTAGAGGCACCATCCAGTCCCAGAGGGGCCCTGAACCATACAATCCCTAGTTACACCCTGACCACCATCGTGCTGGACCCTTGACCACCGTCCAGGCTCCTTGACCAGTCCAGTGCCTAGAGGCTCCTTGACCACCGTCCAGTGCCTAGAGGCTCCTGACCACCGTCCAGTGCCTAGAGGCTCCTTGACCACCGTCCAGCGCTAGAGGCTCCTTGACCACCGTCCAGCGCCTAGAGGCTCCTTGACCACCGTCCAGCGCCTAGAGGCTCCTTGACCACCGTCCAGCGCCTAGAGGCTCCTTGACCACCGTCCAGCGCCTAGAGGCTCCTTGACCACCGTCCAGTGCCTAGAGGCTCCTTGACCACCGTCCAGCGCCTAGAGGCTCCTTGACCACCGTCCAGCGCCTAGAGGCTCCTTGACCACCGTCCAGCGCGCCTAGAGGCTCCTTGACCACCGTCCAGCGCCTAGAGGCTCCTTGACCACCGTCCAGTGCCTAGAGGCTCCTTGACCACCGTCCAGTGCCTAGAGGCTCCTTGACCACCGTCCAGCGCCTAGAGGCTCCTTGACCACCGTCCAGCGCCTAGAGGCTCCTTGACCACCGTCCAGCGCCTAGAGGCTCCTTGACCACCGTCCAGCGCCTAGAGGCTCCTTGACCACCGTCCAGCGCCTAGAGGCTCCTTGACCACCGTCCAGCGCCTAGAGGCTCCTTGACCACCGTCCAGCGCCTAGAGGCTCCTTGACCACCGTCCAGCGCCTAGAGGCTCCTTGACCACCGTCCAGCGCCTAGAGGCTCCTTGACCACCGTCCAGCGCCTAGAGGCTCCTTGACCACCGTCCAGCGCCTAGAGGCTCCTTGACCACCGTCCAGCGCCTAGAGGCTCCTTGACCACCGTCCAGCGCCTAGAGGCCCTTGACCACCGTCCAGCGCCTAGAGGCTCCTTGACAACCATTTGTTTTGTAGAGGCGCGTAGTACTCCAGTCCCTGGAGACCCTTGTCAACCCCCCCCTCTTAATTGCATGCATAAAGCGTTGGATACACAACAGTGGCTGTGGTAACGGACCCCAACTCTTCAGAAATCCAGAACTATTCATCACCTCACACAGAGCTCTCCATACAGTAGAAAGTGAGTTATGACCGCAGTATGGCCGGGTGGAAGGGGTACCTCTTTCCCCCCTCAGTCAATGCTTTGTGGGGCACAGCCCCAGTCCCCTCTGTATTGCCCCTTTATGATCTGATGAAGCTGCTGAGACGTCCACATTTCCCCACCACTATGGCGGCCGTGACTTTCTCTACAATAGAAGAACTGTGTTGTCATCTAAGAGTTGCAGCAGAGGTCCCCAGACTCCGATGTTCTCTTTTCTGCCTTGAACAAAGCTGCAATAAACTTTGATGAAGCAGAAATGTGTGATGTGAAGCTCCTGCCCCCCCCATCAGGCCATGTTTTATGGATTTCCCCCCTGGAGCAGAGGGGGATGTATAGGAGAACTGTGGAATTGATGATTGCACCTGTATAATAGATGACCAGAGCCGGGGATGTGATGAGCCGCCACGATATGGAATATTTCTCTGTATATAGAAATGATTTCCTGTGTGGAGTACTCGAGCTTTAGGGTCCATTTACACATACATGTTATTGTAACACGTGGAATGCATGTTGCATGCGTCGCTGCATGGCAGTGCCATTCATTTTGAATGGCACCCCAACACACTTGCATGGGGGAGTGACATCACTCATTCATACACATCATCTTGATTGTGGAGTCACCACACCCCCTCACCATCGACTTTCTCAGGGGGTCCAATGGAGATCGCAGCACAGGATGACAGGAAACGCAGCACTGTGCTCTGTTACGTCATGCGCGGCAGGTTGGCGTAATACCCCCATCATGGCGTGTTATCGGGGAACGCAGAGCAGGTCTGGACTGAGCGCTGGCGGCCTGCCTTTGGTGGCCTTCTAGCTAAGCTCCGCCTCCAGAATCCAGGAGGAAATCCAGTATAAATCGCTCCGTGGATTATGAAGGTGATCCCCCAATTCTCACTATACCAGAATCCCCCAAAACTTTGCATCCTAAACCGACGAAACCAGCCGGGACTTCAGGGGTCCCTCAGCCTGTGTTCAGACACAACGCCCTTTAATAGGATGTAAAATCATAATGCACCTGAGTCTACATTCAGAAAAAATGGATTCTGATTAAGGGGTGGTGCCCACAAACACCCCCTTCACGTCAGGGGTCCCCCCCATCACATCATACAGAGGTCCCTCCATCACATCATGTCAGAGGTTCCCCCTATCACATCATACAGAGGTCCCCCCATCACATCATACAGAGGTCCCTCCATCACATCATACAGAGGTTCCTCTATCACGTTGGAGGTCCCCCCCATCACATCAGAGGTCCCCCTTCATGTCAGAGGTCCCCCCATCACATCATACAGAGGTCCCTCCATCACATCATACAGAGGTTCCTCTATCACATCATACAGAGGTCCCTCCATCACATCATACAGAGGTCCCCCCATCACATCATACAGAGGTCCCTCCATCACATCATACAGAGGTTCCTCTATCACGTTGGAGGTCCCCCCCATCACATCAGAGGTCCCCCTTCATGTCAGAGGTCCCCCCATCACATCATACAGAGGTCCCCCCATCACATCATACAGAGGTTCCTCTATCACGTTGGAGGTCCCCCCATCACATCATACAGAGGTTCCTCTATCACGTTGGAGGTCCCCCCCATCACATCATACAGAGGTCCCCCCATCACATCATACAGAGGTCCCCCCATCACATCATACTGAGGTCCCTCCATCACGTCGGAGGTCCCCCCCCATCACATCATACAGAGGTCCCCCCATCACATCATACAGAGGTTCCTCCATCACGTCGGAGGTCCCCCCCCATCACATCATACAGAGGTCCCCCCATCACATCATACAGAGGTCCCTCCATCACGTTGGAGGTCCCCCCCATCATATCATACAGAGGTCCCCCCATCACATCATACAGAGGTCCCCCCCATCACATCATACAGAGGTCCCCCCCCATCACATCATACAGAGGTCCCTCCATCACGTCGGAGGTCCCCCCCATCACATCAGAGGTCCCCCTTCACGTCAGGGGTCCCCCCCATCACATCATACAGCGGTCCCCCCAACACATCAGAGTCCCCCTTCATGTCAGAGGTCCCCCCAGTACATCATACAGAGGTCCCCCCATCACATCAGAGGTCCTCCTTCACGTCAGGGGTCCCCCCATCACATCAGAGGTCCCCCCATCACGTTGGGCGTCCCCCCCTTCACGTCAGGGGTCCCCCCATCACATCAGAGGTCCCCCCATCACGTTGGGCGTCCCCCCCTTCACGTCAGGGGTCCCCCATCACATCAGACAGAGGTACCCCCATCACGGAGGTCCCCCCCTTCACGTCAGGGTCCCTCATCACATCAGACAGAGGTCCCTCTCATCACGTCATACAGCGGCCCCCCCCCTTCATGTCAGAGGTCCTCCCACCACATCAGAGTCCCCCATCATGTGAGAGGTCCTCCCATATTGTCAGAGTTCCACTATCACATCGTAGGGCCCCCCATCACTCCGCAGTCCCCATCACATCAGGGTCCCCCCATCACGTCGAAGTTTCCATCTATGTCAGAGTTCTACCATCACATCAGTGGTCCCCCCCCATCACGTCAGTGGTCCCCCCCCCCCCCATCATGTCAGGAGTCCTCCCATCATGTCAGAGTCTCCTCATCACTTCAGAAGTCCCCCTTCATGTCAGAGTTCCACCATCACATCAGAAGGCCAACCTTCATGTCAGAGTCTTGCCATCACATCTGATGTCCAACCATCACATCAGAGGTCCCCCTTCATGTCAGAGTCCCACCATTGCATCAGAGGTTCCCCATTCATATCAGAATCAGCCCCATCACATTACAGATCCTCCCCTTCATTTCAGAGTATTACCATCACATCAGAGTCCCCCCCCGTCCCCCACCCCATCACAGATTCCTCCTATCACATCAGAGAGTACCCATACATGTCAGAGTCCCACCAGAACATCAGAGGCTGCCTTTCAAGTCAGAGTCCCTCCATCACATCAGAAGTCCAACCTTTTTATATCAGAGTCCTCCCATCATATCAAAGCCCCCCATCACAGAACTCTCTCATTACATAAGAGCACCCCTTATACATCCACCCCCTCCCTCCTTCACTTCAGAGCCCTTACTCCTGCAGCATGGC